ATAATATATAAGTAATAATATAAAATTTATATAACTACAAAGTTTCAAACCAAACTGAAAGCAGTTACAACTATAAGATAATAAACACTTATAACTTTTTTAAATATTTAATTAATAATATTTTGAGACCTGTAACTGAATAGAGAATTTCCTTTATAATATTAATACAAAAGTACAAATAAATAAATAAATAAATAATATAGACATATTTAGCCAAAGTGACATTTATTATGGGATAGTGAGAGGAGTAAATATTGAATAATAAATGTTTCATTGAAGGCTAAAATTAAAATTTACTAAAAAGTAATACCATGCATTTATTTTTTGGTTTAAATATTCAAATTAAATTTCAATTGCCAGGATTCACTCATCTCATTACACGTGTACGCGGATGTAAATGTGGCTAATCAACTAGGATCACCTGAGTTTCTATCCTCTGTCTGTCTCTGCCGTAAAAGGTACAGTGTCGAGAGTTTCTTTCCAATTCATGATTTCATGGTCCCTATTTTGGTAGGATCTGCTGTCTCTCTCCTCACTTTTTTTTTCTTGGCACCTTCCATTTTAGGAGAATTTTTAAAGTGAACCGAGTGTCCTGCATTGGGTGTTCTATTTTTTCAAAATAAAATTTTTTATGATATTTTTATTTATATCATTTTATTTATTTATTTTCGTGTCCTGATTTTTTTCTATTTTTAAAAAAGGTGTAACTGCACCAGGAACATAAAGAATATACTCCCATTTCAGATTTCAGTTTCCTTAATTTGCATCATATTTTAGAAAAGTAAAATTGTAACTGAATGAGATAGTTCTCTTCATAATATTATTATAAAATTATAAATAAATAGATAAATAATTGTATAAAAGTCAGTGTTTTAGAAATCCACTCCACTCCCGGTTGACCCGGATCAACCCTGACCCCTCCCCTCTGAGGGTTGGGGTCACAAGTTAGACTCTATATGCAAATCGATCCCTCCGACTCTCAACCCCGGCCGGGTTTCAATGACTCCCAGGTCAGAGGAGTTAAAGGGAGTCTCTGCATATTTTTTTTAAAAAAAAAAAATCATGAAATAACATCATTTTATTTTTTTTAATAAAATAAAAATGCTTGCAAACCTAAATCTAATCATTCTCTTCTCTCCCAGCGACCTAGACGTCTTCAATCTTCACCTCGCTGTCGAGAATCTTCTAAAATAGGAAATAATTTTACCCTTTCAAATAAAATCCTTACGGTCGTTGATGGAAAATAAAAACGCATTCTTACTTCCTTCAAACTTTCCTTTATCAGTGACCTTCCCAAAAGAGGCAGAATCAGGTCAGCGTAGTGTCCCCATTAGAATATGAGTTTTGTACTTTGGTATCTTGATACTTTAATTAGTTTGTGTAATATTAACTTGTTGTTGTAATTGGTGGATTATGTTAAGTATATTTTGAATTTTGATGATTGATGGTTTGTTTTTTAATATTTTCATATAGGATATATATATTTATAATTTTTTAATATATAAAATCGGGTCATCATAGTGATCCCCTGACTCCCCGGTTGAACCCGTGACTTCGTGACCCCTGACCTCGGCCGGGTCGGGTTTTTAAACACTGATAAAAATATAAGAGGCATGTTTAATGAGAGGAACATTTATTGTGAGATAGTGAGAGGAGTGAATATTATATCTCACATTCAAGGTTAACAATAAATTTTATTAAAAATAAGTTATACGTGCTTTTACTTTAAATTGAGGATTCATTGATCTTCTCACTAAATATGTCCCATATAGATATAGATAAAGATTGGGCTTATAATACAAATTATAATTTTCACCTTAATTATCATTTGATTAATTTGAAGAATAAGATTGAAAATGTTATCTCAACTCCGTTATTGATCATAATGACATAACATAACATCATTTTTGGTAGCTTTTGTTGATTGTTGTCTCTGCCTTAATTTAGTAGGTTTTTTTGGCGTTTTATGACATTCGTGCTCAAATTTCAGCTTGTCTCCACTGCCATGTTACGTAGTCGCACTTTATTCTTTCTTTCCTCCTATTTTTCAACACATATTTATCTCTCTCTCTCATTTTTGCCCTTGAATATTCCTTCCTCTTTTTGTCTTTTTTTTATTACAATGGCATGCCTAGGCTAACCCTACACACCTAGGCAATTTTTGCCCTTGAATATTTCTTCCTCTTTTTTTCTTTTTTTGATTACAATGGCATGCCTAGGCTAACCCTACACACCTAGGCTAACCAAAGTGGTAATATTCAGTGCATAGAACACTAAACACACCTAGGCTTTGTACTAAAAATAAAAAAATAAACACACCTAGGCTAACCCTACACACCTAGGCTAACCATAGTGGTAATATTCCTTACTCTTTCTATGTTTGCAAAATCAGGGTCTTGTTGCAATGGTCTATGCAACATCTTCTTCTCTTCCTTATGTGTGATCGTGTCACGCGTTGAAATGTGATAGAGGCAATGCTCAATATAAATAGCGGACTCACCCCATTTCATATATTCAATCTCTCAGTGCTGCCATATCTTTCAATTGTCCCAGCTCTCTCTCTGTTCTTGTCCCAAAAACCATCTCTCTTTCTCTCTGGTGATGCTTTTATTGCTTTCAATTGCATGTCCTTTTTTTCATGTATCAAAATTTTCAAAACCCGATTTTTCCTTGTGGAGTTTGTTCATTTTCTGTTCTCATGATGAACTTCTCTCGGTTTTGGAATGGTTCTACATTTGTTTATTTTTTTTCTTTTGCTTTTTGCATTTGGAGTTTCCATAAATATGTCTGTCATTGTTTCTGCTACTCAGTGCACTCTCCCATTCTTTCTTTCTTTCTTTTTTCTATTTGTGTTGAAGTTTATATGTCTGCAGTTTAGGGTTCTGAGTTGAAGATATGGCAAGTCCTTGTGGAGTGAAGGTTGGAGCTTCGAATGTGGGAAAGTATAAGGGAAGAAAGAACAACAACAACAAAGGTATTGAAGGTCAACGTTCACGGTTTTGGTGGAAACCCAGGTTTTTGTTAAGTTGCATGTCTTTGCGATTTAAAGTTGAAGAAGAAGGCTCCTCCAATGGCAATAACAAAAAATATGGTATTTACATATACCTTGTTTAACTATTGTTGTGAATAAATCTTTGGTATAACAGTTGCATTGAAATTTAGTGCAACCGATCAATAGAAACATAACATATCAGCCAACACACATCAGAAAAGAGAAAATATCAGCTAAAGCATGATGCTCCTATTGATCGGTTGCACTAAGTCTTCGATGCAACTGTTGAACCAAAAATTTATTCCATTGTTGTTAGAGTTTACATCATTTTCTAATTTTGTTTAATAATTCACTTTTAATATATATACTTTTAATAGGTACCGGACGTGTTTGTTTTTATTGGAATTGTTTAGCCATTACTTTTTATGATGGCATGACTCTTAATACTTAATCTCAATCTCAAGTTTCACAATTCAATTCTGAATTGATATCTTTTTTGTTTTTTCTCTTTTTCCTTGTAAATCAGAAGGAGGTAGATCAACAACCAATTACAGTGCTAGAAAGAAACCAGTTGCTGCTCAAGTATTCTCAAGAAACAATTATTCAAGAACAATAAGATCTCCCAAGTTAAAAGGAATTGCAACATCTTCTTCCAGCTTAAGCGAGGAGCTAAGGGCTTATTCCAATCTTCAGAAGTTCTCCTTCAACGAGCTCAAGTTTGCAACAAGCAATTTCAAATCCCAAAATTTGCTTGGTGAGGGTGGATTTGGTTGTGTCTACAAAGGCTGGATCGGAAAAAATGAGAGCTCTCCACCAAGACAACTTCCAGTTGCTGTGAAGACTCATAACCAGAATGGAGATCAGGGCCATAAGGAATGGCATGTAAGTTGCCATGCTAATTATGAACCCGAAATATAAAATACTTTTTATTTATTTTATAATTTTGGCATAGTTCTATGATTTGCATTACTTTTTTTTAGATAAACCACAGGTATCCTCCACGGGAGATAATCCTATTCGAGGTGAGTTCTGAATTAAGGCTTTAAACTACTCCCAAATATCATTTGATATATCTTCATTGTTTCATGTATAATTTCAGGCTGAAATTAATTATCTTGGGCAACTAAGTCATCCAAATCTAGTTAAATTGGTTGGTTATTGCATTGAGGATGACAAAAGGCTACTATAGTATATGAGTTCATGCCTCGAGGAAGCTTGGATAATCATCTGTTTAAGAGTATGTCTTTGAACAAATATTCTTTTAACTTATGTAATATTTGGATTTTATTATAGTATTTTTTTAGAATTTATTACAAAATGGAGAAAGAAAAAAGGGACTGTGTTAATATGCTTTTTCAAGATTCTTGACTTTAATGGACTAGAAGCAATTCAGGTTCAAGAATCACAACTTTCAAATAACAAAATAAGATGAAAGAGAGAGGATGATCTATTATCTGACTACACTAACCTGTCATCACATACTCAGGGGCTGCATAGCCATATGTTCCCATAACTTGAGTTGAAACATGAGTTAAGTCTCCCTCTGGAGCATCTTTAGCAAGGCCAAAATCAGAAAGTTTTGCATTGTATTCCTGAAATAGAAAAGTGTTAAGATGGAAGGAAAGTTGTGTGTTCAAAACTAGTACATATATATAGTATTTAACATTCCACTTACCTCATCCAATAGAATATTATATGTTTTGAAGTCTCGAAATATCACTGGCCTCTCAGCTTCTTCATGCAGAAATGCAAGTCCCTTAGCAGCACCAAGCATAATTTTCATTCTGTGGTTCCAAGAAAAGCACACAGATCCTGCAAATATATGACAGTATTATTACTTATTCTCTAGTATATCTCTAGTATATAATGTTATTTCTATAGTTTCCATGCAACTAACATGCCACATTAGTATTTCAAAAAAAATAATAAAAAAAATGATAAATTAGATATGCAAGTTTCTTCTACATTATTGGTTGAGATCTTTTAAGAAGTGGAAGTGCCTATTGTGATGTATATTGTTGCAGGACATCTCACTTCCAAGAGTGATGTCTATAGCTTTGGGGTGGTTCTACTTGAAATGTTGACTGGCAAGAAAGTCATGGACAAAACAAGGCCTAAGGGGGAGCATGACTTGGTGGAATGGGCAAGGCCACTATTAAACAAATGCAACTATTTCCAATTGACTGACCATAAACTACAAGGTCAATTCTCAGAAAAAGGAATGTATAGGGTAATGAAGTTGGCATCTCGTTGCCTTGTTGGAGATCCAAAAGCAAGACCCTTAATGAGTGATGTGGTTGAAGTGTTAAAGTCCTTGCCTCCTTACTTAAACACGGTTTCTACTTCTAAACTCTCACTTCAGGGTTTCCATGTAGGCCCCTCAAACCATGAAGCTAACTATAGTTTGAGAACTACTTCAAGGAACATCCCTAGTCGTTTTCAAGCCTCCCCTTGTGACTTGAAGTATCCCCTTTCTCTACCCTAACCTTGTGATGCGCCTCCTTGAGACAAAGTATTGTAAATTTTGTTCATGCTTTGTATTTTATTTTATATATAGAAACCGATGTATACACAGGAAAAAGAAAAGAAATAAATAGTAGTTATAGGGCTTTGTGTGTATTAATACATCGGTTATAATAGAAAATATTAACTCAGGTAATACTTTAACCTTGTATTAATACCAAGGTTAAATTATAACCTGAGTTAATGTATTTTATTTTATTATAAGATTGGTTTTAAAGCCAAAACTTATATTATCTTTTTTGCGCCCCACCTCTCTCTCTCAGATCAGCAGTTATAGGGCTTATCAAAAATTAATGTAAATGTTATTCATTGAGAAGCCATTGAGTTGGATAATAAGCTATAGTTATATTTTATTATTATCAGTTAAGTTTAGTTACCTGAGTTAATGTATTAACCTTGGTTAATACATCCTTTTAATACATTAACTCAGGTAATACATTAACCTTGGTTAACTAAGGTAAATACATTAACTCAGATAACTAAATTTAACGGATAATAATAAAATATAACTAGCTTATTATTGGATGAATGCTAAATTGTTTTCGTGTTACATCCTTTTAATTCCTATTATAGGTGATAATTAAGTTTAATTGCTTACAAGAGTACGAGACTTCTAGAACTTTGAATTCATGCACAAAGAGCAAAATCAATAACAAGACTAGTTGACTTGAACCATTAACATTCTCGCTTATGATCCATATTTAATATTCGTAAATCATGGTTTGTGGGAGCCACTTTGGCTATTCATTTTTGCTATGTCATCAAACATCAACAACAGAAGGTCTAGGGTGTAATGATTACAATACAAAATGAGTACTCACTACCAAAAAAACATTAATTAGAGACGGAATAATTCCGTCACTAAGTGAAATATTTCTGTCACTAAATAAACTAGTGACAGAATTAGAGACGAACAAAAATCCGTTACATTATGGCTCGTCTCTATTAGGGACAGACTTAGAGACGAAACGATACCTATTAGAGAAGGATTGATGTTCTGTCTCTAAATCTGTCAATAACAGAGACATAAATATTATTGTCTCTAATTTCCTCCCTATTTATGAGGGATTGTTATTCCCTATCTGAATTCGTCTCTTTTAGAGATGGATTTTTTTCCGTCTCTAAATTCCGTCACTAATCAAGGCTTTTTTAGTAGTGACTTTCGAGGAAAAACACAAAGAAAAAACTGACAGAATTAGAGACGAACAAAAATCCGTTACATTATGGCTCGTCTCTATTAGGGACAGACTTAGAGACGAAACGATACCTATTAGAGAAGGATTGATGTTCCGTCTCTAAATCTGTCAATAACAGAGACATAAATATTATTGTCTCTAATTTCCTCCCTATTTATGAGGGATTGTTATTCCCTATCTGAATTCGTCCCTTTTAGAGATGGATTTTTTTCCGTCTCTAAATTCCGTCACTAATCAAGGCTTTTTTAGTAGTGACTTTCGAGGAAAAACACAAAGAAAAAACTGAAGCAGCTGGCATAACAAAAGCTAGCATCTGCGATATATCCATAAGTGCATGCAAGTAAGTTCTATGCATTGGAGGAACTATTTATAATTTAGGAGTCCAGCTATGCCAAGAACAGAAAAAGAAGCTTCGTTTTTTCAAATTTGGGAGATAGCTTTAACAGCATGTTTGATTTAGTTATATCTAAAGCAAACGATCAGTTCACACTTCCCAATAGCATATGAAAGAAGGAATTAGAGATTAGAGAGCTCTTTCAATCCAACATGTGTGTGGGCAATCATGATGTTTAGAATAGCAAGCACTTGGTGAATGATGGCAATACTATTACTAACATCTCTGAATAATTGCTAGCTGAATTGCAATCTTGATGAAGATATGATAAGGCATGTGCTGTACCATCCTCTTGGTTCAACCTAATTCCACACTCCACAGCTAGAAATATATTCCCCTTATTATAATATTATTCACTGATCTCGTTTGGAAGTATATGAATAAAGTAATACTATTACTTTGAATTTTTTTAAACAAAAGTTAATCCAAAACCGATTTTCTTTGTTTTAAATTTGGGTATGATGTTTGCCAATTGTGTCAGTTTAAGATAAATTATGAAAATTATGGGGAGAAAGTGGATAGTTTTTTTTAATTTAAATTTTAAATGACCATCCATTAGAAGAATAAATATTTTTCCCTTTAAATTTTTGTTTATTTATTATGTCTTTTGACCGAAAAATTGGAAGAGTGGGTGTGCAACATCATTTCCATGAATGATGCGGCAGATTTACTTCTCTTGTTGAATCAACAGACATAGATAAATAATCTAAAATCAAGGAAATTCATACAAATATTCAGAAAAAAGATTCATAGCAATTCCTTCAATTCGGATAATTCTATCATCTATTCTAGGAATAGATACCTAGACTTCTCTTGTTTTATTTAACTCTTTGAGTTTGAGCCTTGAAAATTAAAAAAAAACAAACAAATGTTTTGTGATGTAAGCATGTCCCACAATTCACATTTTTAAGTTAAAATTAAAAATATATAAGTAATAATAAAAATTTTATATAACTACAAAGTTTCAAACAAAACTGAAAGCAGTTACGACTACAAAATAAGAAACACTTATAACTTTATTAAATATTTTAGTTTTTAATTTAATTAAATAATAATAATATTTTGAGAAAATTAAATTTGTAACTGAATAGAGAATTTCCTTTATCATATTAATATAAAAATTATAAATAAATAGATAAATAATAGTATAGACATATTTAGTCAAAGGAAAATTTATTATGAGATAGTGAGAGGAATGAATATTGAATAATAAATGTTACATTGACAGTTAAAATTGAATCTATATTATACAAAAGGAGAAATATTCTTTGAAAACTTTGCTAATGTGTCGTATTCTCCTTCAATATCCACTTTGTGTTCATAACAAAACCACTTTGAAACATTTCCTATTTTAGTAACTTTTCAAATTCAATATTTAAATTTCATATAGGTGGGAAAAGAGTTCAGTATTTTTTTTTTTTGGTAAATAAGAGTTCAGTATTAATTGGTAGCAAACAGTTGTACTAATATCTCATTCCTTTTTTAAATTTCGAATTTTAAACTTGATATAGGTGGGAAGAGTTTAACAATTTTTGGTGGCAGACACCAGACAACTATATTAATATTCCACTACTTTTTACATTGAAATTGTTAAGTATATTAATAATACCACTATTTTTTGCATCGTAAATTGTTAAGCCTATTAGTAATATCTATTATATGTCTATTAGGATTAATTAATTTCTTGGGTCTACAAACGAACCCATGATTATTTGGTTAGAAGATTTGAAAAATAAGTTTTAATATAAAAAATAAGTTCAAAAAACCTCCTTAGTTCGTGTATAAATAGGATACGTGTTCCTGTATATTTTTCATTTGTAATCAGCTTTTGTGAACATATTTCTATTGTTTCTGTATGCTTATCTTTTTCATTTTCTCAAATTGTTCTTTTGCATAATTTTACCCATTATTTGTGCGTTTATAACTTTCTACTTCCCCATTCTGTACTTTATTGGATTGAATTGTTTATATTATTTCTATATTCTATATTATTAATATAGTACACTAACACATGAGCAATTTTTTTTAATTAGTTTTGATGCTGAAGTCGGAGACTTCTTGCTTGACCAAAAAAAAGAACCCGTGACTGATGAAAACGTTGTAATGTGAAAAGTCCTTCGAAGAAATAAGCATAAGGGGTGGTGATGTTTATAAGAGATGTCCTTGGTGTTTGTGTGCGACGAGGATGAAAGGGTGCTGGCGAGGCAAACAGCACGAGGCACATGTCCTTATTGGTCAAGGATACAATCAAAACTGAGGCCAGCTATATCAGGATTCCAAGGCTGAGGATTCGTTCATGTTTGATCGTCTTCACTTGAGTGGTTTGAGTATTTTCTTCATGCAGATTGCTGTATCATTTTCCACCATATTTTAAATTCTACAATTTTGTCGAAGAAGATTTTTGAGAATTTTTTGGAATTTCTACTGCCCAGTTGGTAAGATTATTGATTGTGAAACAAACATGGCGAATAAATAGGTAGGGTAGATAAAAAAAACCTACAATTAGCTTCTTTATTTATTTGAATGAAGACGGGAAACATGTTGGGCAGTTCCTACTTATATTATGGCAGTCCAAAAAATCATGCGAGGTTTTGCATGAAAAATAAATAAATACTGGGCCTGAATCAAAATGAAGAACCTATTTAAAATGGACCTAGCACTGCATAAAAATTCACAAGAAGGTGCATATATGGTATATTTTTTTGTTTTTATTTTAATGAAGCTACTTATCCTATTTCAATGCGTGCTAGCTAGCGCACTATCCTTCCCATTTCCCTTGCTCACAACTATATATCGTGTTTTTTTTTTTTTGGGTATGCTATATATCGTGTTTTAACTTTTACATGGTCACAACTCATAACTAAGTAATAACAGGGTTTATCTAGCTAAAAATGTCTCTCTAGTCAACGACTAAAAGGTCTTTTTGTTCCTACTAAAAAAAAAGAGGTCTTTTTGTTAGGCTTTCCTTAGACCCTTTATTTTAACAGGTAATCTTTGGTGGGGGAAAGTGGTATTCACTACTTAAAGCTATTTTTTGTTCCTTCATGTTTAAAAATAATAAATTTTTTTCTAAAAGTTTTCTTAAAAAATTAACTTTTTTCACTTTGAAATATGCTAAGCAAAATATTCACTTTAACTCGTAAAAGAAAGTCATTTGGTCTAGCGAGGGTTATTAAGGAAGTCAATTTCTTGTAGTGTTTCGTTGACATTTGGCACACCAACAACGGTGGGACGGTTTGCTTATTAAAAGTTACCCCTCACTATTTTCTGCATCTGAAATGATTAAGTATATTAATAATATATATTATTATACCTATTAGAATTAATTAATTTTTTGGATTAAAAAGAATCATATTATTGCAATTATAACAC